TGACAACAATATCACAAATTCTCCACAAATGTGGCTTGTATGGGAGGGTTGCATGATAAAGCCACTCCTCAAGAAAGGCCACATGCAGTTATGACTGAACTTTGCCAAAACACACCTAGAAGATTCTGAGGCAGATGAGACTAAAATTGAATTATTTGGCCTCAACACCAAACGATATGTCTGGTGGAAATCCAATCCAGCTCACCATCCAGATAACAGCATTCTTCCAGTAAAGCATGGAGTAACGCATCGGTTATATCCTGTTATGGGGTGTTTCTCTACAGCAGGGACTGGAGCACTTGTCAGGATAGAAGGAAAAATGGATGAGGCAAAATACCGTCAAATTCTTGTCCTCTGCCCTCTGCCAGAAAGATGTCAATGGGAAGAAGATTTACCTTCCAACATGACAATGACCCAAAGCATAAAGCAAAACTGATCACACAGTGGTTAAAGGAGAAAAGGGTGAATGTCCTTGCATGGCCTAGTAGGAGCCCAGACTTAAACCCCATTGAAAATCTGTGGAATGACTTGAAGACTGCAGTCCACAAATGGTCACCATCAAATTTAACTGAACTTGAGCAGTTCTGCAAAGAAGAGTGGGCAAATATTGCAAAGTCTAGATGTACAAAGTTAGTAGAGACATACCAACAGACTAAAGGTTGTAATTAAAGCAAAAGGGGTTCAACAAAATACTGACACAAGGGGGTGATTTTTTTCTGACATGTTGGTGTTATATCTTTCACTTGGATGTTATAAGTTGCACTGAGTAAATACTGCTGGATAAAACAAAATCTGTGTCTGTCTTCACTTCAGGCTGCCAAACAACAAAATGTGATTATTTTAAAGGGGGGTGATTCTTTTCTCTACCCACTGTATCTGTAAGTGTTCTCTAATTTTGATCAGAGTTCTTTTTCAAATAATTAATTTGAGTGTTTTTTTTTTTTGCTGTGCTTCAGAATCCAATTAATTTATGAAATATGCTTAAAAAACTGCCCTTCTACTCCTGTAAAGATAACTTCAAATAGGACTAAGCAGTGATATTGAAATTTAGGAAATTGTAGGTTGTTCTCTAATTTCGATCGATCTCCACTGTATATGTATAGTGGTTATATTGACCTGTTTGTCTTACATAATTGTGTATTTTATATTTTATTTTGTGTATTTACTGTTTTTGTCTGCACTGCAAAATGTAATATTTTAAATCAATCTTGTTTGTTTTCTTGTAAAAATAAATAAATATCCCTTCTACTCCTGTAAGGATAACTTCAAATAGGACTACTATATTGGTGACTATGTCAGTGATTTTATTGATTTTTACCTTCTGTCCTCCAGTGCAGATGACCATTTCTCCAGCTCTATGGAGACCAATGTGGTGATCCGCCATGATGGCCAGATTATGTGGGACAAGCCGGCAATAACCAAGAGCTCCTGCAAAGTAGATGTGTCTTACTTCCCTTTTGATGCACAGCAGTGCCGCCTCACCTTTGGCTCTTGGACCCACAATGGCAACCAAATGGATCTTCATAATGCCCTGGACAGTGCTGATCTGGCTGACTTTGTGGAGAACGTAGAGTGGGAGGTTCAGGGAATGCCTGCAAAGAAGAACATTATTCTCTATGGATGCTGCTCGGACCCCTATCCAGATATCACTTACACACTTCACCTGAAGAGAAGAGCTTCCTTTTACATCTTTAATCTGCTCATTCCCTGTATGATGATCTCCTTCTTGGCTCCGCTAGGCTTCTACCTTCCAGCCGACTCTGGAGAGAAAGTATCTTTAGGGGTCACAGTGTTACTAGCCCTTACCGTCTTCCAGCTTCTGGTTGCTGAGAGCATGCCTCCTTCAGAGAATGTGCCACTCATTGGTGAGATCAGTAGCTTTTATTCTACGTACAATTATATACTTATATTTTATTCTATTTATGATCATTAAGAATTTTATAATGACAGCTGTGGATAGTAACATATTTGTTTATTTCTTGAATTAAGTTGAAGTAAGCACAATCTAACTAAATTTAACAAGGTTTGTTATTAAAATATGGCGACCTGAAGATGACATGCCTCTGGGGAATTAGATATTTTGGCCATGAATTAAGAATTTGTTCACTCTTTTCATTACTCCCACAATGTATTATTACTAAAACGATGGAACGAATTAGTACAATAAGACCATGGTTTTGACCATGATTTATTTAAATAAGAAACACAATTGCAGGTGTCAATTTAAGTAGGGCTGTTATCAGGAATAGCCATTAGGTGCCAGTGTCTTTCCACATGCTTACACACACATATACACTCATCCCACGCAAGATTTGGAACAATAAAAATCCTCCAAAAGTTTCGTTTTAATTAATTTGCTCAAGCTCATTGCCAAATAATGTGTACCTTCAACATACTTTGTCCATGTCAAAAAGTCTGAGAGTCTTAAAAAAACACAAAAAAAATTCAGATTAGTTAAGGAAGTTTTGCATCATATACAGTGTGATATTTGGTTATCGAGATCTGGGAGCAACATAAAATTTTTCCGCTTGGGCGAGTGATTCTCAGATAGCTTTCTATGCACATGAAATCACCCACAGGCCAACAAACCAATGCGAACTGTCAACAATAATGACGAGTCATAGCAACAGAACACAGATGCCAAAGCTATGTGGATCAATGGAACCCATTACCTTGGTGTTGCTAGCACCATGCTCTACCAATTGTGCTGCAGGAACATAAACTGAAGCCAATTTGATCTCAATTAACATCATATAATGGACAATTATAACCATATTGTTCTATCACATCTGATTTGGCTGACTAAATCAGTTCTGGTACATTTATTTCCTACCCATAAAATTGGGCACATGTTGTATAAATGTTTAATCTTTATTCAGCACAACACCCCCTTGGATTCTTTTGGGGTGCAATTAAGTGGTTCACAAAAAAACAAAAAAAACAAAAAAAAAAACACTCCCACCCACAAGGCTCGAAATAAATAATTAAATTGTATGAGATGCAAATAAGCTGCTGGAGCTTTAGTAGAAAAAGGAATAAAAATGGGTCACGGTCAACAGGAAGGGACCCAGATGCAGAGTGAGTGAAACAAGATTTATTGAAGACAAGTTCACAGCACAGGGGTGGACAATCTTGGGACAGCTCCAACCAGCAGGGAGAGATCAATGCCCTGAGAGGTAGACAGTCTGGGGTACAGTCTCAGTCGTTGGTCAAATCGGGGCAGAAGGATGGTGAGAAAACCAGAGCAGAGAACGCAAGCAGAGTGAAGGGGCTCAAAGCAGGCAGCATCAGAGATTCGGTTCTCAGCACCAGGCTTGGTTGGCGGGCCGCCTTGGGGAACCAACAGGCAGGGAGTCTCAGGCTGGTAGAGCAGGACTGGAGGGAACACACAGCACGAACACACAAATACACAACAAAACACCACACAACACCACTACTCAGTGCAACACACAGAGAAACAACATTATGTACAAAAGAGGGAAAAATAAAAGTAAAACAAAACTAAACAAAAACATAATGGAAATATCTAAGTTTAGACTAAAAAATAACTAAAGTATAAAATCTAAACAGTTAAAGAGTAGAAACAAGACTGATGATCAACTAAATATGATATTACAAGTAAACACAAGCGCTATTAAAGAACAAAACCAAAAGATAGAAAATCAAGAACAAAAACTACAATAATGATGCACAATAACAGGGCAAGACTGGAATATAGAGCAGCAAGTCAGTAACTGTCTCTATGGCATATTATAAAGGGAGGAAAGTACACGAGGGCCAGGTGAGCACAATTACAGAAACGAGGACAAGACAAGGCCTAAACAAGTGGGTGTGACCAAGGGAAACAAGGAGGTGGGACCACAGGAACACATGGCAAGCATAAACAGAGACAAAGCAATGTGTGCAAACACAAGACAAACAAAGAAACATTAAACAAAGACAACACAGACAAAGCTGCCAGGGCAGAGCCCTGACACAATGCACCTGCCATGAGTTTTAATGAGCCTTCCTAATGAAACCGGGGCCGCCTGCAACTGTGCTGTTTATTAGCAAACTCACTATTGAAGTTGTAGCCCAGCCAGTGTTTAACACTGGAATACTTTACAGAAACTTTGATCTTGAGGTCAAATAATCAATGATTCTCAAGTTACATGCAGTTTTAAATATCTATTTATTGCTGATAGCTTTGGGAATGGATTCTGCTGTCTGTGTTCATCAATCCCAATGTTTCCACAGGGAAATATTACATAGCTACAATGACCATGATTACAGCTTCTACAGCCCTGACCATCTTCATTATGAACATCCACCACTGTGGACCAGAGGCTCAACCTGTTCCTGCATGGGCACGTCGCTTTATCCTGCAGTACTTGGCTCGAATTTGCTTTGTCTATGACATGGGAGAGAGCTGCCTGTCTGTGCACACAGACAAACCTGCGCAGAAGGGAAGCAACTACACTTTAAATGGCCAGGCTGAGGGTGAGGACTTCACTCTGAGGGTACGAGGCGTTTCAGCTGGTGAAGGGTGTTCACAGAAGATAAAAGATCAATTAAATGAAGATGTCAGTCCAACCTTATCACCATGGCAAGGAAAAGAGAGCCATTCTGGCTGGATAGATGGTACCTGTGTGGATATTGACCATGGAGAGGTTGCAGGAGCTACAGCAGAGACAGTGAGTGAGAGCGGAGCAACTGGGAAAGAATCAGCAAAGAAGAGGGAGATACTTGTTGAAAGTCAGTGTTTATTCCATCAGCAAAACATCCTGAGAAATATTGAGTACATCACTAACTTTTATCAAGAACAGAAGGCCACACAGAGACGAAATGGGGAGTGGCGGAAAGTTGCCAAAGTCATGGATCGCTTTTTTATGTGGATATTCTTCATCATGGTCTTCTTCATGAGTTTGCTTATTATAGGGAAAGCTGTCTGAATGTTTGATATGAAAGACACCAGGGCTCTTGTGCATAAACGTCTGTGCAGTTCTCATACTAATGATTTACATAAGCAAAAATGGAAATAAATAGGCATAATACGTCATGATGGTGATGGCACAGGCCAGACATACATACCGTGTCTCATCCATTCTTTTATCATTGTATTGTTCATGAATCCAGATTATTCTAAATGAGGGAGTGTGGGACAATAATTTGCAATTAACATTAATACATCTCTGTCATTCTCAAACCCAGCTGAATGCAATATTAAGAGTCTATAATACACAACATTTTTGCTACTCTGCAAGTGAGATGTATTGCAAGGTCAATCCAATTACTACTAATAATTAATGTATATAAATAATGATTTTAGCTTAATACTGTATATTAGCTTATTTTAGCTTTATAAGGCCACTAGGAATGTTTTTTTGTCTTTTTATCATAAATCTAGAATAAATTGAAGTTTAGTTAGGGCATCAGACACATTGTATGTAAAACTGGAAAAATTCTAAAGCATAATGGTAGAAGTTTAAAGTCTTTACAGACTAGCTCTCTACAGTATTTATTTATTTGCATTTGAAGACTCTTTAAGACCTGTGATTTTTGGTGCAGGACATTCGTTCATGAGGCCCCTGGACTGATCAGTCAGGTCACAAGGTCACAAAATAGGTAAATGATTTTTCAAAGTATCAATAGCATCAAACTAATGTACCACATTGTGTTTAGCCTACTGACTGTAGGAAAAATAGACCTAAGCCAAGCAAACAGCCAACCAGGATTTTTATGACATGGATGCACTCGGATTTTGTTAAATGTCCTTACTAATGTCTTTACCGCTGTCAATAGTTTAAAACAGGAATATTGCAGTATTAAACATGATGTTTGCAATGTAAAAAAAGATAGTAGAGAGGTGATACCTGCAGTATATGGGAAAAAGATGAATGGAAAGCTGTTGAATTCAGATCAGTATGACAAATGGAGCCAAACACACAACAACACTGACTGTTTCAGATATTGGCCTATCCTATATGGTTTTGTCTGTTAGTGCATGTGAATCATATACTACTACCTGATTTGTGTAAATATATAAATATAATGTATATAAGCATATTATATCGTATAATATCTAAATGTAATCTATAATATATAAATCATATTTAAATATTATAGGCCTACTGTATGCACTACTCTATGCACAATATTATTAAATGCTTACAGTATTTAATTGTTTAGTTACGCTTAGCCAGTGTCTTTGTGTCAGGCAGAGAGTGATTACTGAGATATTTGAATGAATCAAATGTTGTTTTTTATGAATCTGTAATAAATCTGCAAAAAAGAACCTTCATAGAGTGTAAATCCATCAAAATTCGTATTAAAGTGACAACAGAAGACACCACCTGGGAAAAATGTGGAAAATATAATCTCATACTTCCCACAAAAAGGACTGAACTAAATGCTCATCACCTTCAGTAATTTGCCCTCCATTTGCATTTCTCCTATTACTTCTACAGTCCCTTTTAGCATGGGTAACTGACCTTCAGTGGATCTGTAAGGCGGTGGTGGTATTTTAACTAACATTTCTTCTTTTTTCTTTGTTTCTTTATATGCTTCTTTCAATATTTTCCTTGCCTGTTTGATATTTTTTAGCATATCTTCTCCTTCTTTTTTAAACAGTGCCAGTACTTCTTTTTCTCTTTCTCTTTTTATTTCTCTTTTTTTCGTTTAGTACTTAGTCCTTTTATCTTATGATTTCTTTTTTTATCAAGGTTTCCATTTCCTCACACAATGATACATCAAATATTTCTTTTACTCTAATATAATTTAATCTTAATGATTATACTTTATTACTAATTTTTATTAATATATTGTTTTTTTTCTAAATGATATATTACTATATTACTTATATATATTTTAAATATCAAATGAATAAATAACATATATTATTCCTATTTTTTCTCAAATCTAATAGTCTATAAATAAATATATCATTAACTTTCTCTCAAGCATACCAGTGTGGCAGGAGGGGCGATTTTTCTTGCATCATTGTCCGCTGTCTTAACCTATTGCCAGCACCCCCTGGGCTATAAAAACGGGAACATATGTGCTACCTGGGATGCGTCACTTGATGGGCTGCCAGTGACCACCTCACCGTGTGTTGTGACTTGTCTTAGTGTGTGTGTGTGTGTGGGTGTGTGTGTGTACACGTGAAGTGCAGTGATTCACCTACAGGTGGTGTGGTCTGATTATCCGCCTCTATTGGTAAGTTCTGCTCCCTGGCCCTTGACTTGTTTTAAAACTTGGTGGTCCGTTGGGCTGGAAGTGTTTCAGTATTTTAACATTGTTTTTATTCAAGATTTGCCAATAAAGAGTTCATTTTTGTATTGTTACTCATGTCTCTGACTCTAATTGGTGATACGAATCTGTGTATGCCTCTGTAGGAGGTTTATTCTAATTCTTTGGGTGAAATTCCCATAGTGGCGTAGTCGGAGTGAGACTGATATCTTGTCCAATTCCCATTGTACTTAAAACAAAAATTCCTCTTTTGCCCTCGTACTCCTGCCACACCAGCAATGTGTCCTTATTAAGATATGTCTAAGCAAAGAGTCAGATGACACCACTTCAGTACGCCAGACAGAAAGAGTTTACGATCTCACGGTATCTCCGCTACCAGATCACTCACACAAGTGCGCACACACAAACAACATATATCTTTCTCTAGTCTTAAACCGTCTTCCAGGTTTTTACTAAAACTATGCTACTAATCTAAAACCATCTTCCAGGTTTTTACTAAAACTACTAAACTAAAACTATCTTCCAGGTTTTTACCAAAACTACTAATCTAAAACCATCTTCCAGGTTTTTACTAAAACTACTAAACTAAAACTATCTTCCAGGTTTTTACCAAAACTACTAATCTAAAACCATCTTCCAGGTTTTTACCAAAACTACTAATCTAAAACCATCTTCCAGGTTTTTACCAAAACTACTAATCTAAAACCATCTTCCAGGTTTTTACCAAAACTACTAATCTAAAACCATCTTCCAGGTTTTTACCAAAACTACTAATCTAAAACCATCTTCCAGGTTTTTACCAAAACTACTAATCTAAAACCATCTTCCAGGTTTTTACCAAAACTACTAATCTAAAACCATCTTCCAGGTTTTTACCAAAACTACTAATCTAAAACCATCTTCCAGGTTTTTACCAAAACTACTAATCTAAAACCATCTTCCAGGTTTTTACCAAAACTACTAATCTAAAACCATCTTCCAGGTTTTTACCAAAACTACTAATCTAAAACCATCTTCCAGGTTTTTACCAAAACTACTAATTTAAAACTATCTTCCAGGTTTTTACCAAAACTACTAATTTAAAACTATCTTCCAGGTTTTTACCAAAACTACTAAACTAAAACCATCTTCCAGGTTTTTACCAAAACTACTAAACTAAAACCATCTTCCAGGTTTTTACCAAAACTACTAAACTAAAACCATCTTCCAGGTTTTTACCAAAACTACTAAACTAAAACCATCTTCCAGGTTTTTACCAAAACTACTAAACTAAAACCATCTTCCAGGTTTTTACCAAAACTACTAAACTAAAACCATCTTCCAGGTTTTTACCAAAACTACTAAACTAAAACCATCTTCCAGGTTTTTACCAAAACTACTAAACTAAAACCATCTTCCAGGTTTTTACCAAAACTACTAAACTAAAACCATCTTCCAGGTTTTTACCAAAACTACTAAACTAAAACCATCTTCCAGGTTTTTACCAAAACTACTAAACTAAAACCATCTTCCAGGTTTTTACCAAAACTACTAAACTAAAACCATCTTCCAGGTTTTTACCAAAACTACTAAACTAAAACCATCTTCCAGGTTTTTACCAAAACTACTAAACTAAAACCATCTTCCAGGTTTTTACCAAAACTACTAAACTAAAACCATCTTCCAGGTTTTTACCAAAACTACTAAACTAAAACCATCTTCCAGGTTTTTACCAAAACTACTAAACTAAAACCATCTTCCAGGTTTTTACCAAAACTACTAAACTAAAACCATCTTCCAGGTTTTTACCAAAACTACTAAACTAAAACCATCTTCCAGGTTTTTACCAAAACTACTAAACTAAAACCATCTTCCAGGTTTTTACCAAAACTACTAAACTAAAACCATCTTCCAGGTTTTTACCAAAACTACTAAACTAAAACCATCTTCCAGGTTTTTACCAAAACTACTAAACTAAAACCATCTTCCAGGTTTTTACCAAAACTACTAAACTAAAACCATCTTCCAGGTTTTTACCAAAACTACTAAACTAAAACCATCTTCCAGGTTTTTACCAAAACTACTAAACTAAAACCATCTTCCAGGTTTTTACCAAAACTACTAAACTAAAACCATCTTCCAGGTTTTTACCAAAACTACTAAACTAAAACCATCTTCCAGGTTTTTACCAAAACTACTAAACTAAAACCATCTTCCAGGTTTTTACCAAAACTACTAAACTAAAACCATCTTCCAGGTTTTTACCAAAACTACTAAACTAAAACCATCTTCCAGGTTTTTACCAAAACTACTAAACTAAATAGACAGTCTGGGGTACAGTCTCAGTCGTTGGTCAAATCGGGGCAGAAGGATGGTGAGAAAACCAGAGCAGAGAACGCAAGCAGAGTGAAGGGGCTCAAAGCAGGCAGCATCAGAGATTCGGTTCTCAGCACCAGGCTTGGTTGGCGGGCCGCCTTGGGGAACCAACAGGCAGGGAGTCTCAGGCTGGTAGAGCAGGACTGGAGGGAACACACAGCACGAACACACACAAATACACAACAAGGCACCACTCAAGACCACACAACAACACTACTCAGCGCAACACACAGAGAAACAACATGTACAAAAGGGGGAAAAATAAAATAAAAAGTAAAGCAAAACTAAACTAAACAAAAACATAATGGAAATATCTAAGTTTAGACTAAAAAATAACTAAAGTATAAAATCTAAACAGTTAAAGAGTAGAAACAAGACTGATGATCAACTAAATATGATATTACAAGTAAACACAAGCGCTATTAAAGAACAAAACCAAAAGATAGAAAATCAAGAACAAAAACTACAATAATGATGCACAATAACAGGGCAAGACTGGAATATAGAGCAGCAAGTCAGTAACTGTCTCTATGGCATATTATAAAGGGAGGAAAGTACACGAGGGCCAGGTGAGCACAATTACAGAAACGAGGACAAGACAAGGCCTAAACAAGTGGGTGTGACCAAGGGAAACAAGGAGGTGGGACCACAGGAACACATGGCAAGCATAAACAGAGACAAAGCAATGTGTGCAAACACAAGACAAACAAAGAAACATTAAACAAAGACAACACAGACAAAGCTGCCAGGGCAGAGCCCTGACACAATGCACCTGCCATGAGTTTTAATGAGCCTTCCTAATGAAACCGGGGCCGCCTGCAACTGTGCTGTTTATTAGCAAACTCACTATTGAAGTTGTAGCCCAGCTAGTGTTTAACACTGGAATACTTTACAGAAACTTTGATCTTGAGGTCAAATAATCAATGATTCTCAAGTTACATGCAGTTTTAAATATCTATTTATTGCTGATAGCTTTGGGAATGGATTCTGCTGTCTGTGTTCATCAATCCCAATGTTTCCACAGGGAAATATTACATAGCTACAATGACCATGATTACAGCTTCTACAGCCCTGACCATCTTCATTATGAACATCCACCACTGTGGACCAGAGGCTCAACCTGTTCCTGCATGGGCACGTCGCTTTATCCTGCAGTACTTGGCTCGAATTTGCTTTGTCTATGACATGGGAGAGAGCTGCCTGTCTGTGCACACAGACAAACCTGCGCAGAAGGGAAGCAACTACACTTTAAATGGCCAGGCTGAGGGTGAGGACTTCACTCTGAGGGTACGAGGCGTTTCAGCTGGTGAAGGGTGTTCACAGAAGATAAAAGATCAATTAAATGAAGATGTCAGTCCAACCTTATCACCATGGCAAGGAAAAGAGAGCCATTCTGGCTGGATAGATGGTACCTGTGTGGATATTGACCATGGAGAGGTTGCAGGAGCTACAGCAGAGACAGTGAGTGAGAGCGGAGCAACTGGGAAAGAATCAGCAAAGAAGAGGGAGATACTTGTTGAAAGTCAGTGTTTATTCCATCAGCAAAACATCCTGAGAAATATTGAGTACATCACTAACTTTTATCAAGAACAGAAGGCCACACAGAGACGAAATGGGGAGTGGCGGAAAGTTGCCAAAGTCATGGATCGCTTTTTTATGTGGATATTCTTCATCATGGTCTTCTTCATGAGTTTGCTTATTATAGGGAAAGCTGTCTGAATGTTTGATATGAAAGACACCAGGGCTCTTGTGCATAAACGTCTGTGCAGTTCTCATACTAATGATTTACATAAGCAAAAATGGAAATAAATAGGCATAATACGTCATGATGGTGATGGCACAGGCCAGACATACATACCGTGTCTCATCCATTCTTTTATCATTGTATTGTTCATGAATCCAGATTATTCTAAATGAGGGAGTGTGGGACAATAATTTGCAATTAACATTAATACATCTCTGTCATTCTCAAACCCAGCTGAATGCAATATTAAGAGTCTATAATACACAACATTTTTGCTACTCTGCAAGTGAGATGTATTGCAAGGTCAATCCAATTACTACTAATAATTAATGTATATAAATAATGATTTTAGCTTAATACTGTATATTAGCTTATTTTAGCTTTATAAGGCCACTAGGAATGTTTTTTTGTCTTTTTATCATAAATCTAGAATAAATTGAAGTTTAGTTAGGGCATCAGACACATTGTATGTAAAACTGGAAAAATTCTAAAGCATAATGGTAGAAGTTTAAAGTCTTTACAGACTAGCTCTCTACAGTATTTATTTATTTGCATTTGAAGACTCTTTAAGACCTGTGATTTTTGGTGCAGGACATTCGTTCATGAGGCCCCTGGACTGATCAGTCAGGTCACAAGGTCACAAAATAGGTAAATGATTTTTCAAAGTATCAATAGCATCAAACTAATGTACCACATTGTGTTTAGCCTACTGACTGTAGGAAAAATAGACCTAAGCCAAGCAAACAGCCAACCAGGATTTTTATGACATGGATGCACTCGGATTTTGTTAAATGTCCTTACTAATGTCTTTACCGCTGTCAATAGTTTAAAACAGGAATATTGCAGTATTAAACATGATGTTTGCAATGTAAAAAAAGATAGTAGAGAGGTGATACCTGCAGTATATGGGAAAAAGATGAATGGAAAGCTGTTGAATTCAGATCAGTATGACAAATGGAGCCAAACACACAACAACACTGACTGTTTCAGATATTGGCCTATCCTATATGGTTTTGTCTGTTAGTGCATGTGAATCATATACTACTACCTGATTTGTGTAAATATATAAATATAATGTATATAAGCATATTATATCGTATAATATCTAAATATAATGTATATAAGCATATTATATCGTATAATATCTAAATGTAATCTATAATATATAAATCATATTTAAATATTATAGGCCTACTGTATGCACTACTCTATGCACAATATTATTAAATGCTTACAGTATTTAATTGTTTAGTTACGCTTAGCCAGTGTCTTTGTGTCAGGCAGAGAGTGATTACTGAGATATTTGAATGAATCAAATGTTGTTTTTTATGAATCTGTAATAAATCTGCAAAAAAGAACCTTCATAGAGTGTAAATCCATCAAAATTCGTATTAAAGTGACAACAGAAGACACCACCTGGGAAAAATGTGGAAAATATAATCTCATACTTCCCACAAAAAGGACTGAACTAAATGCTCATCACCTTCAGTAATTTGCCCTCCATTTGCATTTCTCCTATTACTTCTACAGTCCCTTTTAGCATGGGTAACTGACCTTCAGTGGATCTGTAAGGCGGTGGTGGTATTTTAACTAACATTTCTTCTTTTTTCTTTGTTTCTTTATATGCTTCTTTCAATATTTTCCTTGCCTGTTTGATATTTTTTAGCATATCTTCTCCTTCTTTTTTAAACAGTGCCAGTACTTCTTTTTCTCTTTCTCTTTTTATTTCTCTTTTTTTCGTTTAGTACTTAGTCCTTTTATCTTATGATTTCTTTTTTTATCAAGGTTTCCATTTCCTCACACAATGATACATCAAATATTTCTTTTACTCTAATATAATTTAATCTTAATGATTATACTTTATTACTAATTTTTATTAATATATTGTTTTTTTTCTAAATGATATATTACTATATTACTTATATATATTTTAAATATCAAATGAATAAATAACATATATTATTCCTATTTTTTCTCAAATCTAATAGTCTATAAATAAATATATCATTAACTTTCTCTCAAGCATACCAGTGTGGCAGGAGGGGCGATTTTTCTTGCATCATTGTCCGCTGTCTTAACCTATTGCCAGCACCCCCTGGGCTATAAAAACGGGAACATATGTGCTACCTGGGATGCGTCACTTGATGGGCTGCCAGTGACCACCTCACCGTGTGTTGTGACTTGTCTTAGTGTGTGTGTGTGTGTGGGTGTGTGTGTGTACACGTGAAGTGCAGTGATTCACCTACAGGTGGTGTGGTCTGATTATCCGCCTCTATTGGTAAGTTCTGCTCCCTGGCCCTTGACTTGTTTTAAAACTTGGTGGTCCGTTGGGCTGGAAGTGTTTCAGTATTTTAACATTGTTTTTATTCAAGATTTGCCAATAAAGAGTTCATTTTTGTATTGTTACTCATGTCTCTGACTCTAATTGGTGATACGAATCTGTGTATGCCTCTGTAGGTGGTTTATTCTAATTCTTTGGGTGAAATTCCCATAGTGGCGTAGTCGGAGTGAGACTGATATCTTGTCCAATTCCCATTGTACTTAAAACAAAAATTCCTCTTTTGCCCTCGTACTCCTGCCACACCAGCAATGTGTCCTTATTAAGATATGTCTAAGCAAAGAGTCAGATGACACCACTTCAGTACGCCAGACAGAAAGAGTTTACGATCTCACGGTATCTCCGCTACCAGATCACTCACACAAGTGCGCACACACAAACAACATATATCTTTCTCTAGTCTTAAACCGTCTTCCAGGTTTTTACTAAAACTATGCTACTAATCTAAAACCATCTTCCAGGTTTTTACTAAAACTACTAAACTAAAACTATCTTCCAGGTTTTTACCAAAACTACTAATCTAAAACCATCTTCCAGGTTTTTACCAAAACTACTAATTTAAAACTATCTTCCAGGTTTTTACCAAAACTACTAAACTAAAACCATCTTCCAGGTTTTTACCAAAACTACTAAACTAAAACCATCTTCCAGGTTTTTACCAAAGCTACTAAACTAAAACCATCTTCCAAGGTTTTTAGTTCCTTGCTGTCATATCCTACTACAAAACTGTATTGCAACTATTTCAATCTTCAGATGCAGTTAATTCAATTCAAGTTTATTTGTATAGCGCTTTTCAAGATACAAATCGTTGCAAAGCAACTTTACAGAAAATGAAGTTTCTACAATATTTAGTAACAGTTAACAACAACCATTTACATGCACCATGACAGCCTACAGTTAATTCTGAATTCAAAACCCCCTTTTCTTCTTTTGGTTTTTACATTTTTAGAAGAGCTTTTTTGAGTTTATCTTACCACAACGGGCAATTTCTGGAGAACAACACAAACTAATTTTATAAGCAAATAGCTTACCTTGTGGCCACTTTTTGTGCTAATTGTCCAGAGAGAGCCCGCTGCAGCTTTTCACTCTTTTGCCCTGTCTCCAGTCCTGCCGGTGTCGCCAATTATGTTGTAGAATTTTCCTTGTTCAAAATAAATTGCTAGAGAGGTTTTGAAGCAAGTAAGACTTTATTGATCACAACAAAGTCGAGTTACAGTTTGCAAAGGTAACTCCAGAATGTCTGTTTCACATCTACGACATTCTAATTTATTGAGATGCACCTGTATATATATATATGCCTGAAGCTGTTTCACAATACTCCATATATGCTCCGTTGTATTTTTGGACAAAATGTCTTTTCCCATATATGTGTCCTTGAAGGTGATCAATAGCTTGTCATGCATGTACTGTATTTCTAGCTCCTGAACAAGGTTTTCTCCATATATGGGTTTTTCAAGCTTTAAATAGTTCACCCAGTTTACGGCTTTATACAACATTCCATGGCTTTATATACGATTCCATGGATCCACATAGCTTTGGCATCTGCGTTCTGTTGCTATGACTCGCCATTATTGTGATTTCATGTGCATAGAAAGCTATCCGAGAATCACTCGCCCAAGCGGAAAAATGTGATGTTGCTCCCAGATCTCGATAACCAAAAATTACATTGTATATGATGCAAAACTAACTTAACTAATCTGAATTTTTTTTGTTAGTGCATGTGAATCATATACTACTACCTGATTTGTGTAAACATATAAATATAATGTATTTAAGCATATTATATATTATATGATATCTAAATGTAATCTATAATATATAAATAATATTTAAATATTATAGGCCTACTGTATGCACAATATTATTAAATGCTTACAGTATTTAATGGTTTAGTTATGCTTAGCCAGTGTCTTTGTGTCAGGCAGAGGATGATTACTGAGATATTTGAATGAATCAAATGTTGTGTTTTTTATGAATCTGTAATAAATCTGCAAAAAACAACCTTCATAGAGTGTAAATCCATCAAAATTCTCATTAAAGTGACAACAGAAGACGCCACCTGTGAAAAATGTGGAAAATATAATCTCATACTTCCCACAAAAAGGACTGAACTAAATGCTCATCACCTTCAGTAATTTGTTGGTGAGATTTATGCAATTAACATTTCAGTCCTTTTAAAATCCCTTTTAAGGAGGGATTGCAATTGATTTAGTTGGATTAATAAATCCAAATCAGAAATGAAGGATTTGATATCCAACCTTTTCCTATGACCCATTATGCTTTGCGCAAATTATGGGTGTAACTTCCGTTAAGCTGTAAACAATCAGTGAAAAGCTTGCTCTATGATTGCAATAATCGTTTTTTTTTTTTTTTTACTGGGTTTTTACAACTGGCTACATTATTTTACTCACCCTTCAACCATCGAACATTAAAATAACATTTAAAAGTGTAAAAGCATAAACAAGTCCTACTCTCAACAGACTATGAATAACCCCAAAAGCACTATTCTTTCCACAGCAAAGGCTGAGGGCGAGGACTTCGCTCTGAGGGTACGAGGCATTTCAGCTGGTGAAGGGTGTTCACAGAAGATAAAAGATCAATTAAATGAAGATGTCAGTCCAACCTTATCACCATGGC